CCAAAGGGAAACTGAGTACTTGTAAAACTCCGAGGGGTTTTTAGTACGTGACTGGGAAGTGTCCTAAGCATTGTTATCATGAAAATATGGATGATGTGATCTGATTATTTTTGAGTCAACCTTTTTGGGTCAAAATGTTCCCATAAAGTCCAAAGGTTGAGTAGGGGGAACTTGAAGGGGCCCTTTAGAATCTTAGTAGTGTCTTCACTTTGGCCATCTTTCCATTTGGAGTAGGAATTCTTTCCTGGAGGTGGGAGTGGGGATTTGTGTTTTTCAGGGTGTGAGTGCCATCCCTGCGTTTTACATGCCAGCTGTCAGTGGCAACCCCTCCCACCAACTGTCTCTTGATTGGGGAGGGGGCATTGCCTGTGGTTGGAAAGTACTATTTTAATATTTCAGCCAAAGAAACAAAATTCCATTTAACCAGCTCCAGTATATGACAGCTTGTCAAAAAAGAAAGGGAGCCCTGAAGGTGCAGCAGGCCACATGAGTGGTCAACTCTTCGCTTTAGCTGCAGGACCATGGCCCGTTGTTCACTGATTCTAACCCCTTTTCCCTCCCCTTCCTCCCCTCCTCTCCACTTCCTTTTCTTTCTTCTTTTTTTCCCCAGAAGCTGATGGAAGTGGACTCGGCTCTTCATCGGTCCGCACGTATTCTTCCAACGCTCAGCTGAATGACATACTGGGAGGCGATTTCTTTTCTCCCGACAAAACCCATAGAAATTAGAGCGAAGGACTAAAAAGCCCCAGAATCCCTCAGAGCTGTCAGTGTTCTATCTCTCGGCTTGTCACCCGTGTCCTCCATCATCCTTCCCCCTCTTGGCCTTGCAGTTTCCTCCGGATGCAGCGGTGGTCCTTCGTTGCTTTCACGCTGTAGCAGATACACCCCAGTAAGGAATCCCGTGTCTTTGAATCCATGCGTCTGCATTTGACTTTCAGGTAAAATCAGTCCAGGAATTCTATTAAACGTGTAGAGACCCTGGGTCAAAACAAAAGCCAGTCAATAATGAGGCTCTACAATAGTATGGGAATGTGGCTCCAGCATATGACAAAACCAAAATATAGGAAATAGCTTCAAAATGAACAGATATATATTTGTTGGGTACATTGACTTCATAGAAACAGATTGCTCCCTCCCCCAATTTGTGCCATTCTTAAGTATTTGAAATTGAAATATATCTGTTCTAAAAGTAACATAGGGTACATATGTCAACGAACATATTAAAGCTTAAATACTATTAGGAAAACATTATTTAGATGTCCCAAAAGGCTGCGCTCTCTCCTCCCTCTCTCTCTCTCTCTCTCTCTCTCTCTCTCTAAAGAATCAATTTGATAAAATTCATTTTCCATGCTACCATTTGATCAAACTTTATCGTGGAGTCTAAGTTGTCTACTCGTAGGAGGCCGAATGGAATTGTGGGCCCTTCCATTCCCAAGTCTCTCCTTTCTGCATGTGTGAACCTGTGTTCCGGACCCTGGCTTTCGCATGTTTCTGTCTGTGGCACTCTCTGTCCCTCTCTCTCCTCTCTTGCACCTCCTTACCATAGAGTGGTGGAGGAGAGTGACGAGCTGACTTCACTCTCTCAGATGAGATGACAGTCCCTTAGGGCTAGAGACAGGGCACTTCAGAAATAAAGACCGAAGTACTTCAAACTGAGCACAGTCAACAAGGCAGTATAAAAGACAGTATCTAAGAGGACCAAGAACTATTCCCTCACCCCAAGAAATCAGCCCTCCCTGTTTAGTAGAGTGCTCATATTATTCACTTCAGACAATGCCCTATCTCTCACTACGGCTTCTCTGAGTGACATCCACTCCGGACTCAAGTGATAAATATTTAACCAAGGGAACTCCCCCCTACAGCCTCTTTTCTTTTTTCCCCCTATGCATTAAATTAATTACTTCATTTTAATAAGCAAAGCTTCTCTCTGAAGCTCAACCTTAATTATTTCACACTTTCGTCAACTCTCTGCAACTACGTTGAACTACAGAGGAACGCTGGAAAAGACGAATGTCTTCAGGGTTAATTCTGGTGAGAAAGGCAAAGCCGTAGAAGTTGCGCTGTTCTGATGAGCCCCTGTCCTTTAGTGCTGGTGATCCTGGCCCCATATTTAGTCATGTCTACGGAATGGCATAGACATTTTTGCTTAGTGCAAAAGAGAAAATAAAGACATTTTACTGGCTTTGTGGAGGGTTTGATTTCCCAGAGTCCTTGTCCCCCTCCTTTTTCTTCTTGTTCTGTTTTTGGGTAGAATTCTTTCCACACTGAAGACATTCTGTTCTGGTGAGTTCTGCACTTCTTATGTCAATTACATTCACATCTTTGATCTTGGATGAGATCTCTTGTGCATATTTTTGTTCTATTTACATCTTTGATCTGGTTTCTTGTGATTTTTTTTTTGGAGGTTGTGTTTTTATTCGAAAGACATTCACCCTACAATATTTAAAGAGGAAAACAAGGTGACATTTACTTTACCCATATGACATTGTGTTTTGAGGCATATGGATAAACGAGACCGTCTTTACACGGCTCAGCTCCTCCTTCCAGTATCCAAGCAGCTGTGATTTTTAGTTACTGTAACAGCTCACAATCAGGTGGATGGCAACGTGGCTGATCCAACTCGGCTCTCGGGTTTTGCCATCTTGTTGTTCCATTTGTCTCAAAACAGTCGATTTCTCCAGCCGCCTGACAGTGATGCAGATATTGAATAGGAAGCAAACTTGCCGAACAGCACCTGCTTAAGGACGGCTCAAGTACCCTTGCAGCCTTGCTATTACCATCATCATTTTATTGACCATGAAATTATTTGCTTGCTTGCGTAACATGTCATCTATATTCAGGTTTCAAGAACTCACCCAGGTAACTTTAAAGGTGATCCGTGTTGCTAAGGGGAGATTAGAGAATGAGATAACAGCCAGCGGCCCGTCGCTGTAGCGGTGGCAAAGAGCTATGAATAAGGGGGCCACATGGGACCTGGGAATGTACATGACAAAAAATTGGTCACCATGGCAACATTTGAGCAGTGGGAGACAGGGAGCTGAAGTGCGCAACACAGAACCGCAGTGGCCTGATTGAAAAGAACTGCCTATAATTTAGCTTGACTGACTTGTTATGTAATATGTTTTCTGTGCTATGCAAATGACTGTAGAAATGTGAGCATTCAAAATAGTATACAAATCCAGGCTGTAATAAAAAGAAGAAAAGAAGGGGCATACACCTTTAAGGGGTAGGATTGAACCCCAATTATGAGCAAACCAGAGCATTTCTGTGGCTGATGACCTTTGATAGTGTTACCATAGGTATTTCTGCATAAGGCGTCTGTCTAGAAACAACGTTTTTGTATTTCAGAGGCATGTTTATATAAAACGCTAAATTTTGCCTTTTAAAAGCAAGTAAAACTAGAATTAGGGGTATAAAAAAGGTGGCGCAGCGGTAAGAAATTGTGAAGTTAAAGGGCTCCATGCTGAGCCTCCTTACATAAACTAGAACACTGAGTTTTCCACAAAATTTGTTTTGAACTAGTTGCTTGTTTTTTGAGGTATTTGTATAGTTGTCACTGTTTTCCATCTCGGTTGGTCCGTGCCACACATAGAAAGAGGAAGGTCAGGGATACAGTCTGGCCAAATCGCATTTTGCTGTTTGCTTTCTCATAGATTTGCCTCTAATGGACGCGTATCACCCGAGCGTCGTCAGGACTGCTAGAAGGTCATTTATTAAAAGTGTTAGGAGAACACTGAAGCCCCAGTCAATAAATCTGAGCGCCAAATCTCTTCTGCAGATTTAGCAGTCCATAGGCATCGCCTATATCACAGGAAGCGAATTAGAATGAATCACATAGCTTAATGGCAACATTCCTGCTAAGCTGTACATATAATAGTGACAATAATAAAATTAGTAGTAATTATAGAAATGATTACTGCTTAGATTTACTGAGTGCTATCTGGATGCCAGAAACTCTTTTGCCTCATTTACTCCTCGCGAAATTGTGGCAAGATAGAAACAAGCACCCTCCCCTCCCATTTAGCAGATAGGGGCTCAGAAAGGCTAATGTCGTTTGCCTGTGGTCATGCAAATGGTAAATTGTAGCGCCCTGATCAGAATGCAGAGCCCTCTATCTCCTGAGCGTCATTTTCTAGGCGAGGTTTCTCTCTGGAGCCGGGCCAGATGACTTAAAATTACCTTGCTCTGTGAGGCCTCCAGCCTGCACCTTCCCGGCTCAGACCCTTTTCTCTCAAACAGTCGCATTCCTGAATCCATCACAGCCCCAGCCACAGCCATGCACCCAGACACTGGAAACCCATTTTGTCTGCATTCATTTTCTGAAACTCCTTATGTGGCGTTTCCTTATGTTTTGCAACTCGAATTGCCATCCTCCCAAGGTTCATACGCTGAAAGCTTCCTTTGCAATGGAGCAATCCTCAGAAATGGGGCATTGGGAAAACGAACGGATCACAGGGCTCCGACTTCACTAACGTCTTAATGCACGGAAAAGTTTATCATCTGATAGGCTATCAGGAGGAGATGCATAGAAATTGAGGGGTTAGGATGTACTTGAAAGAGGTAGGTTCTTGAAAACACGCCCTAGCGACCTTCTCCTTGTCATCTTCCTGTTTCACAGAACCGCTGCTTTCCAGTTGCTAGGACGGAGGTGGCTCTGGTCTCTACCTTGAGGCTCTGCTTCCCCACCCGTCTGCAAACAACAGAGCAGAGTGACTGCTCACCAAAACCTTGAAACCCGAGCCAAAGTAAACCTTTTCTCGCTGAGGTTGACTTCCTCGGGACTTTGTTCCAGCAGTGGAAACAGAGCGTTCTGAAGAATGTCTTATGTGTGACGTCTTATGACAACTTGTCAATTAGTCTTTGCTTCTGCTTCACTTGGCGAAACTAGATTAGGAGAAAGTATGTGTAAATGTTGAATGTTCTCATTGTGTTGATGTCATAAAGGGATCAAGCCGCAAACGGAAGTTAGGGGCCAGAATTCACTAGAATCTAGATTACGGCTGGCGGCTGGGAAGCTGCTTGGTTGGAAGGTGAGGAATTCCCTCTATGTTCCGGGGCTAGCTTTGTTCCTCTTCCTTAGGTTTGAGATGTTCACCTAAGCTGTTTTAGATGACAATAGTTTTCTAGCATTTTTTTTTTTTTTTCCAGAATGCCATGACTTGAGACTGAAAAGAGACTTTAGGTTTTGGATTCACACAGTGTTGAGACTGCTAAAGACTTGGGACTTTTGAAGTTGGACCTAATGTAGTTTTCATCACGACATGGCCATGAGCCTGTAGGGACGGCAGTGGTCCGTGGTGAGTTAAATGCAAAACGGTCCCTGTCAGTTCACATAATTGAACACTGATACTTTTGGGGAAAGGAGATGGAGCTTTTAAGAGGTAGAACCTGGGGAAAGAATGTCATTGGGAGTGGGCTTTGAGATTGCATAGATTCATCCCACTTCTGGTGCGGCATCCTCTACTTTTTGCGTGTGATGGAAAATGCGATCCCTCCATTTCTTGCCTTGGTTGGTTGCTGCCATTCTTCCAATTTATCTTTCTTTCAAAAGTTGCCTTTGGTCCATAGTATTTTATCACCGCAACAAAAGTAATTTATGTTTTGAGACTCAAGATATGCACATTTCTTTCTTTTTCTCTTCTTTTTTTTCTTTTTTTTTCTATGGTTTTTCAAGACAGGGTTTCTCGGATACCTTGGAGCCTGTGCTGGAACTTGTTCTGTAGACCAGGCTGGCCTCAAACTCACAGAGATTCACCTGCCTCTGCTTCCCGAGTGCTGAGGTTAAAGGCATGCACCACCATGGCCTGCAAAATGTGCAAATGTCAATGCCTGCCAGTAGAAATTTGAAAACACCACTGGGACATTCTTTCTTCCCAGTAGCAAGCAGCACAGAAAAATTTCAGGGGCTATGCATTGCCACCAACAATTTGTGTGTCCAATGGTTTTAAATCCAGACTTTCTGGAAGCTTTGGGGTGGAATACTTCGGTCGGATAATGAGGGTGAGTACCTTTTCACATGCCCGTTGTCTCGGTGGATATGCTCTTGTGGTATCTTAACAAGTAGCTCATTCATTTCTCCACATGGCTACCCATCTTTCTTGTGTTGCTTCGATCAAGAACACTGATTTAAAAACATAAATCCATTTATCATTGGTAAATCACATACTGGGAAAGCTTTCCACTCTGTGGAGATCTTCACTTTTGTTTATTTTTTTTAAAATTGAGCATTAGGATACAATCTAGTTTGTTTTAATGGCAGACCTAAAATACAATGGCTTAAAGAAAGTAGAAATTTGTATTCTCCTTGTATTGTCTCTCAACACCCAGGACGTCACACATCTCAGCTGGGCTGGGCTGGTGCACCTCTCCACTCTACATCTGAAATCCTGAAGGCCGTGCTCTTGGCCTGAGGATGGCTCCACACCATTCCACATTCTGACCCCATATAAGATGGAAGAAGTCCGGGGCGTGCGGCTTGACCTGTGTGAAGAAGTGTGAAATTTTGCACTTAGCTCACACCCCATTAATCATGTCCTTGCCTTTTAGCTGAGGTTCACTTACTATAGAGGGGGAGAAAGTACACACTCTCAAGGCAGTGCACATTTTGCCGGGGAGAGTGGAAGAAGAGGAGGGGGATGTTGCTGATGGATCTTTCTCCAGGACTCCCAGCTGCTACACCTCCCAACGCTGGACTTAGCGGTGAGTTGGTTTCTTTGTTTGTGCTTCTCGTCCTTGTATTTCTTGCAGGTTACAATTCTGGGATCTCGAAAGTGTTTGTCCCTGCTTTGACGAAGCAGTCCCCAACAAGGATAGCGCTTCATAAGCCTTTATCTGTTGCATTTATACCTTGCATGCGATTTCCCACGGAAACTAAACGTGCTTCCGTTAGCAGTTAGTGACGTGCTCGTTACTTATCTCACTGTTGCACCCCACAGTTCCACCGGACCAGAACTCCTGCTGTGAGTTTAGAGACCGGAAGTTCTTGCCTGAGGAGCTGGGGGCCAGACAGATGCAGGGAAAATGTAGGGACTGGGGTGAAGTGGAGCTGTGATCGAACACAGCGGGCCTGGGATGGAAAGAGGGGACATAGCCGGCATCTTTCCCACCATTACTGACAGCTTGATAAGAAAGGCATGCAGATAAACTATAACGAGTGAAGAAAGAAAACCAGCAGGCAACGTCGAGTCTGCGACAGCTAGAGAATCCAGGTGTTGTGGCTGGGGCTGTTAGCACAGGGAAAGCTCAACGAGCATCCAGTTTCTTAGTCTTCCTAAAGTCAAAGACTCTGATCTGCTCGTGCTACTGTGTTCCTTGGTTTTGTTGTTGATGTTTTGTTTGGATCTTGCCAGGTAATGTGAAAATGTGGTCATCATTTTTTTTTTCCAGTTGAAAAGTACATACACAAGATACTTGATTGCACTTAAATTAATTTGAAAATTGTGAGATTAGAAATTGCTTCTGGGAAGTCCATGTCTCATTTTTAATTCTGGAAAATCACTGTCTCATTAGTATAAAAATAAAGTGAAAGTAACAAAAACAAATGAACACCTTTTTCCCCCCGTGACAATCTGGTTCATATTGCACATTAAAAGAAGAGTGTGAAGTCATTTAGATAAAAAGTCGTGGAGATCCCCCTGTGTGTACACACTCATTATGTTTGTGTCTTTCTGTACATTTATTGCACATGTCAAAGTAGTGCCTCTTGAGCACAGAGGGCCACATTTCTACTATGCCCATTATTTGATGGCAGTGATTCTAGACAACCAACCAAGACAATGCCTTCCCTTCCTAGTCCCTAATTTCTAGCATCTATGGCTACCTCTGCAATGCATACTTAATAGGAGAAAAGCACTATGCTAGCCACTGTGAGGTTTCACCTGGTCCAAAGAACTGCTCTCTTACCCTGTAGCAATTTAGAAACTAAGTGAGGTGACAGCCATCCCAATTCCCAACCCATATGTCAAGGGAGAGGGCTGTCATATGGCTATATAATGAGGTTCACCCTGGAGGTCCTCTCCTCTGTAGGCCAAGAGTACTGTGGCCTGCTCCTGCTTTCCATGTATTAGATTTGCTGTCTGGAAGAGCTGTGCCATCTGGAAGCCGGTGGGGGTGGGCCAAGAAGACCACTTGTGGATTTCCAGGCAGCTGGGCAGCAATGCTGTCTGGTCATTAGGAGCACTGTAACAAAGGCCTGAGGACATGTGGAATTGGGGATGGAAAAGGGGCCTTCAGAATGTGGGATGAAACTCATGGACTAGAAGAGGTTGTAGAAGTGCTGGGAAGAAATCCACTTCCATTAACAAGCTATGTGGAATCAAGGGTTAAAGGCAAATGGGTGACAGCGGGCCTGAGTGGCTGGTGGCGGGCCCAAGTGGGTGACGGTAGGACTGAGTGGGTGATGGCAGGAATGAGTGGGTGACGGTGGGCCTGAGTGGGTGATGGCGGGCAGTCATCATTAGCATTTGTCAGCTTCACACAACATATACATATCTGGAAAGCAGAAATCTCAGCTGAGGCATTGCTTCCATCAGATTGGCCTCTGGGGCGTTTTCTTGATTGCTAACTGATGGGATCCCAGCCCTCTGTAGGAGGTACCACGTCATAATAGGTGGGCTAGGTAAGAAAGGCAGTCGGAAGTTGTGTTCCTCCATTGTCTCTGCTCCAGTTCCTGTCCTGGTTTCCCTATGGTGATGGACTGTAGCCTGTAAACCAAAGAAACCCTTTCCTCCCGACGTTGCTTCTAGTCAGTGTTCTATCACAGCAGCAGAGCAACAGGAAAGAAACCACCAGGACAGTGGGTGATGGTGAGCCTGTGTGAGGGATTGAACTTGCTGTATGAACAGACACTTGTAAGAAGTGAGGAGGGTAAGCCATGGAAGTGACTGGGTAGAAGCGTCAAAGTTTAAAGGCCTTAGGATGGTGAGCAAGGAGGCCTGGGCCCTGAACAAAGAGATGAGAAGAGAGAGCAGCAGAGGAACAGAGGACAGACAGAAGGAGGCGGGGGATAAAGTACGTTGGGACATGGAGTTTCCAGGGCATGCTTTAGCTTCTTTAACGAATCAACAGGATAGCCATCAAAACAAGATATAGAATACCCTCATGGATTTGAATACGAAAAGAAAGACATGCCATGATCGGAGCAGGTATAGCAAAGCAAGCATATGGGCTTGAGCAGGAACTTGGTTGCATGCTCTGAATACCTTTGAGAGGATGATCACTCTCAGTGGCCAATGGTAGCCACACAGCACTCAGGGTGGCTCTCATGTTGAGGCATTGATGGATGCCTCACTCTCCAGCAATGAAAGCCAATGGGGGAAGGAGGTATGAGATCTTTGTGCAGTTAGTCTCCTTACTCCCACGAATGGAGTTTGGATTCTCTCTAATGGATATACTTGAAAGGAGGAGGAAGGATGGGTGGAAATGGTAAAGTGACTCATCGTGGTAGGAATGGGGGAAGGGGACAAGAGGTAGAGACTTCTGATTGCGGGGAGGGGAGATGGCAGATGTGAAGTGACTTTGGGGAGTAGATGGTTGAACAAGCAATGGGAACTAGTGGAGGCCACAGTGTGAAGAAAACCCAAGGAGTTACTTGGCAGAGAAAGGTATAAATTGGGCAATTTTCACATCAAGAAACTGAATAAATAATGTGGAGAAAGGGCAGGGGATATGGTTCAGTTTGTAGTGCTAGCCTAGCACGCTTGAAGCCCTGGGTGCCAACCCCAGCACCATATAAACTAGGTGGTATCTAGTTATATCTACTGGTATCTGCCTGTAATCCTGTCACTTGTGAGGTGGAGGCAAAAGGCTCAGGAGTTCAAAGTCATTCTTAGTTATATAATGAGTTCAAGGCCAGCCTGAGATGTGGTACTCTGTCTCAAAAACAAACAAACACAAACAAACAGCCACAAGCAAAGGAAAGGACGATAATAGCCCCCCGCTGATCACAGCACCTCTGTGTAGCTGAGTGACTGAAAAGATCATCACATTTATTTTTCTCAGAGATGATCTCACATCTCAATTTCTCTTTCAATTTTTTTTGAAACTACAACTTGATTGCGACATTTCCCCTTCCTTTTTCTGCTTTCAGATCCTCCCATACCTCCTTGAACGCCTTCGGATTCATGGCCTTTAAAAATAAAGAATTATTATTACATGTATATACATGTATATTTCTAAATACACCCTGTCCAGTCCACGCTATCTGTGTGTATGTTTTCGGGGCTCTTTGGCACTGAACAGTCAAGGGCTGTGCTCCTCCCTGGGGAGACCCGCCTCTTCAGCTGCCAGCTTGTTCTTGTCTCGATTCCTTCTTGGAAAGAGTCTGCCATCTTAAGTTGATGCTATTTCCCCTGGATGCCGCTTATTACAGACTCGGGGACAAATAATAAAGAGTAAGAGAACTCGTGTCTTACTTTATCGTTTAAAGGAATCATTACCGGGGAGGAAAATATCTAACCCGTTTCTGTTTCAATCACAGAGAAAAAGCCCAACGGATAAGACCTCCATTCGCCATGGCTGCTACCCAGCTCTGCTACTCTAATGCAAAAGTAGACACAGTGCACAAGTCAGTGTGGCTTGCGCCCCAAAGATCTTTATTTATAAAGACAGGCAGTGGGCTAGACTTGGTCCTGTGTCACGGTTGGCTTGGTCCAGGCTTTTATCACCATCTGCCTTTGTTGAACACTTTTTTTCTTTTTGGTTTTTCGAGACAGGGTTTCACTGTAGTTTTAGAGCCTGTCCTGGAACTAGCTCTTGTAGACCAGGCTGGCCTCAAACTCACAGAGATCCGCCTGCCTCTGCCTCCCGAGTGCTGGGATTAAAGGCATAAACCACCACCGCCCGCCTGAAGACTTGTTTAAAAAAAAAAAGACTTTATTTATTGCTAATTTGATAGAATTCATTTTTGTTACTATTATGTATATAATAAACTTAAGAATAATTAACAAAAATTTAAATTAAAGCTGACAAGTTAAAAGTTTTCTTCCTTCCTTCCTTCCTTTCTTTCTTCCTTCCTTCCTTCCTTTCTTACTTTTTCTTCACTTCAAATTGCAGTCTTTGGTGGATGTTTAGGCTAGATGCAGGTCGTGTTAAAGATTTTAATTGTCTATTTTACTCTCCTCGAGGCGCATGAACATCAAAATCCCCGTGTTATTCTTACGCTGCTGCAGCTCTGCCATCAGCCATTTGCCATTGCCGATGCCATAAAAAAGTGAAAATTAATTTTCTATCGTTTGAATCAAAGTGTCCCTGTGCCTCAGCACAGTGCTGAAGCAACGCTGTAAAGTTAATGGAATATTGTAATCTGCAGGATGCTCTTTTGTTTGAGAAGGAAAATGGGCTCATCCTCCACGCTATGAAAGCTTTATAGCGACCAGACCAACTAGATCAGCGACGAACAGTAAAACACCAGATAAAAATGCGGCAATATGGTGTCTTTGACCGAGAGGAAATTTCCAGACTGTAATGTTTAAAACTCTTGTTTTGTGCCAGCTTAATATTCAGGTATACAAATGCTCTCGTTTCTAAATCCTGCATTGGAAGATACTTTTTTTAAAGAACAGCGTTTACTGTGGGTAAAGTGGGAATGACTAAATCCTGACAGCCCACTGGTGTCCTCCAGTCCGAGTGACAGCTGCCATCGCGAGTGAGAGCCCTCCATCGCCAGGGTGAACTTGGTTGGTAAACTGCTCTGCTGAGTC